ATGCACCCCTATGAAGCATCTATAGATGCATTCTTATTTTTTACTATTGGAGGTGTTGATTCCTTTTTCTTTTTTTCCTTCAATTTTGTAAAGTAAATAAATTTAACTTTTTCTTTTTTCTTTTTATGATTCATGGCTTCCTGCTTTCCCTCTAACTCTGTCCATGGTGGTGCTGTTTCTGTTGAGCTGCAGGGCTTTCAGTGAAAAATGAGTCCACACTGAGTAAGAATATCACAGGAGCAAAAAACATCCAAAAACAGCTTGAAGTTTAGTTGGTTCATCAACAGCTGTCTTAAACAAATGAGTGCACACAATAACTACAGATCTGGATGATGCCAGTTGAGCAGTTGAGATAATGATTAGCTGCCTGAGAAGCCATTGTATGTATAGGGTTTGTTACAAGTATGTGTGTGTGTGTGTGTGTGTGCATATATATATTTTTTTTTTCCCCCCAAAGAACCCTCAAAACCACACTGTGTGAATCAAAGAAGCCCAAGTCTTCACGGTTCTAGGGCTGTTTGATTAAACGTGTTGTCAAGTAGGAGATTCTACCTGATCAAGTCTGTCAGTGCATCATATATGAATAAAGCCGTCTCTCCTCTGCCGGCTGCTCCTCCTATTAAATCCATACGGAGCTGCAGGAGTCCTTAAACACAGCCTAAATATTCACTCACTCATCTAAATGAGCCGGGCACACGCAGAGCCTCAGAGTGAACTGGGAGGCCTCCCAGTGAGCACCAAAGTCATTCCGGGTTTCCGAGTAGTAATTACAGTCAGAGAAACCCATATCATTCCCTCTACAAGCAGCTCGTCGTCCTGCTGCATAACCAACTCTGAACTTGGCGGTTGAGTGCATTTACAGTTGGTAAGATGAACGCTGTGACTGTACGCTGAATCAGATATGAGCATGTGTGCTGCTGTCACAGTGAGTTTCACCCACTCCTACTGCTGCTAGTTATCGATGCCAGAGCCCAGTGGAGCTCAGTGACCGAGCACTCAGACCAGCAATAGATTGCAATGCTGACAATACATTAGGTTTTAAGTGCCGTGGGCCAATTAATACCACAAAAGGCCTTGGCAGATGGATGCAGGCTAAAGCTTTCTTTCCACTAATTTATTTTTATTTTTCATTCCTATGTCGGGCCATTAGAGACGTCTGACCGATTAACTCTTCAATTCATCACGCGTCAACGCACACACCACCATCGATTTACTCAGCGCTGCGCTTTGAGCCATCATTAAGCTTCTGTGCATCTGCCCTCACTTACAGAAAACTGTGTTTGAGTCTGTCTGTGCCAGACACTGAGGAATAACCTTGGTTTCCAATCGCTGCTCATATGCAAACGTGAGCTATTATACAAATGGCTACAGTGAAATCCCTGCAGTTTGTAAATACAAAGAACAGCGCCGCAAATGAGACTGTTTTGTTGCTGAAGGAAGCGTGGAGAATAGCTGAGTGGAGAAACTACGGCAGCTCGACACACTTCACACTGACAAACAGACCAAAGATAATGAAGACAACCAGTAAAATAGCAAAGACATATAATGACAAAGAGCAGACAGAAGGAGCAACGCCAAGGCCAGAAGCCAGAACAGAGCTCCGCCACAAGCTGCACAGAAAAATAGAGCTCAGGTAGAATTCTCCAGGAGAAAAACTGCTGAACGTACCCAGTAATGTATTTTATTGCTGCGATTGTGACTCCTGATCACACAATTTGAAGACCTTTTCTGTCATGCACAGAGCGTGATGCAGTTCTGTACATGCAACAGGTTTATAAGGTATGAGCAGGACTCCTCACATGACCAAAAGCAGCTCTCACACAGGACACACATCAGTCCTTCAGTTTGATGCAAACACCTCAACAGCCAAGACGTAGCTGTCCCGTGCGTAGCAGCTAGCATTAGCACTAGCCTTGCTCGTCTGTACTGTTCAGTAAAATTCTATTTTTTTGTATAGCGCCAGTTCACAACGTATGTCATCTCACAGCACATCACACAGTAAGGTAAAGACATTATGCCATGCCCTTGCTTTTACCAAAACTTCTCTCCAAGAGTGTCAATACAACTGCAAAGTTTTAGTTTATTTATTTTAAAAAGTTTATTTTTAAAAAAGGTGCAAACAGAGAAAAACCATGAAGGAACAGACAGTGAAGACATTGCATAAGGAGAGTAGACAGAGGAGGGGGAAGCTTAAGCCACACTGATATTGTTTGTCATGACAAGGTCTGATAGCATCTCTAATATTTGATAGCAAAGTTCCACCCTTTTCCAATACTCACACAAGCAGGCACGAAGCAAAATCTATTTCTGCAAACAATATAAGAGATGGATTTGTCCAATTGAGACTATCCAGTTCAAGGTGATGTCACTCTCCAGCCTTCTCTCAGCCTCTCTCAGGCTTTTGTTGTGACAGAAAATGGGGAAGGAGAAAGGCCTGTAGCACTGCAAAGGCACAATCTGTGAAGTGTGAATAAAGGTTTGGTTTACTGCAAGCGGCAGGGTGCCATTTCTCAGGAAGGGGCATTGTGTCATCGTCAGCAAACAAAGGAAATGGTTCACGAAACAAATCCAAATCAGAAGGAAGCTCTGCAGCAAGTGTAAAAAGAAAATGTCGACAGTCAGGGAGATGGATGCAGATGAACAGTTAGAGTTGATGTAAAAAGCATGCAAGGAGTTTAATATGCACCTCCTGCGGCATCATGTTTGGCTCATAAAATCCAATAGTGGAGAATTGATAGTGTAGAGTAACAGAATCCATAGTGCATCCCAGGAGGCCTCACAGTGAAGACAGTGAATACATAAAATCAAGAGTGGAAGCTGTAAACTGGACTGCAATAAAAATAAATAATTAAAAACAAACAAGATCTACACAGTAATTAATATTTTTAGCTTTTAGTTTTCATTACAGCACTGCAGAAAATATGATGTGTGCACACTAATGATAAAGCTCTCAGCCCAGACATAATGCCATCAATCTTTATGAGGAGTTTAATTAATTTAACCACTTACATGCTTCTGTTGGACAAAAAATGCAACAATGTCCTGTTGATTGATTCCTTCAACTAGAATGAGGCCCACAGTATTGATCCAAATGGGCTTTGTGGCAGTAAAACAGGTAAATATATGAGGAGCAGTTGTGCCTGCCACTTGCTTTGTGCAGGATGAAGAAATACAGAGAGGCCACGGCGGCTCTGCTGCTGGAGGACAGGACAGCGTATTGTGAAGGACTCCTTCCTGTTCCTGTATGTGTGTGTTTACACTGCAGGGACTCGCTGGGACCAAAACCACGTTCCCACCATGTGGATCATTACATTTTACTGGAAACATTGGGTTTACGGTTAACGTACGTCTCCAGAAGATGAAGCTCTATGAATATAATTTTGGCAAAGATATCATAAATCCATTATACACTTAGTTCTTTGTGAACCTGAAAGTTGTCAAATTTAACTGAGAACACTTAAAATAAGTT